CTCTGAGTTGTCCTTCAGAATATATTTTCTTAAAATAGAAATGTATCTTGTCAGAAACAGATTGTAGCAACATATCCACAGATAACTCTTAAGTGACTGTCAAGAGGAAGATGTGTTGTTTTGCTTTAGAGCCAAACAACAACTGGAAACACAGGAGAAGCGGCTCACAGAAGATCTTCTAAATCTTAAACTCTATTAGCTACTTGTGACTACCTTTGGTAATCCAGCCGGTCCCTGATTCTCTAATCTTATCTTCCATATTGTTTACCCAAGGGGCCTTAAATTGATATAAATAGGTATATTTCAGTTGAGATCAATTAAGACATATTTTTGTGAGACATTTGGATGAAAATGCATCCACCTATGGRAAGTTTTTCTGCTGAAATTCTTTAGGTGGGTCTGTTTCCACCTCTGCAGATTAAGTGCAGGAGAAAACTCAGAACACGATTACTTTCTGTCTTTTTTTAAGCTAAGCACCAGTTCAGAAAAAAAAAAGCAGACAGTGATATTTTTCCTTCTGCATTAGAGAATATATTTGTAGTATTTTTAAACTATGAAGAAGCCAATAACTTTTCCTTTCTTTTTGGCAGTGAATTCTATTCTCAAGTAAAATCAAGGCAAGCATGAAACTGTCTCATGGCCAACCGAGCTAATGCTATTATAAAGCAATCCTTTGCCTGGTTCTAGCACAGTGCTGTAACAAGAACCCCAACCCCACTCTGCACCCTTAATATTTCCAGAGCTTCCATATCGCCTGCCTGCTTCTAGTCTGTCTGATAGGCAAAACATAAACTCAGTCCATTTCAAAGAGTAAAGTCCTTAAATGTGCCTCAAAAAAAAAAAAAAAAAAAAAAAAAAAAAAAACCACCCTTTTATTATTATAACTGTAAGCCAATTCACTTAAAATCATAAGGAAGTTAGTAAATGAAAACCTTATGACTATCGCATCTGCACTACTTAGACTTAAAGGTGTATGCTGCAAGTTTTATGGAGCATTTCAGGCTATGTGSTAAATCAGAGAAATTACAGCAAAAAGGAGTTTACAGGTATAACAAGCAATGGGTAAATGTAACCTAAACCATGTCAGAAATGAGTCTGAGGATGAGTTGGTATTGACGACTGTTGTTCAATTTCCATTTAAAAAATAGGCAAACTCTTTTATCTGGAAGATCCCAGAAAATAAGACATTAGTAAAACAAGGGCTTTTGCTTCTAGTCCTGAGCTAGAAGTGGAAGTAGAAGACCACGTGTCTTTTCAAAAGAAAACTTTGGACTAGCAAAATCTACCCATGTTCTATTTCAATAAAACTTTTATTTATCTTAATTTCTTTCATAATTATTTTCTTTAATAATACTTCCTAAATAATGCTATGAAATTTTGCATAATAAGAGTTGAGACTGAAAGGTTAACATGCTGTTTAACTCATTTAACCTATTTTTCATCCATTCACTACTGCTGCTATCCTTGCCAACCATCCATCTTTCCCAGTATGAAAGGTGTATTATAAATTTTGGGTATTGGACCTTACTTTCACATTTACTTCACCAATAGGCAAAGGGATTATCCAGCATCCTGATTCAACAACATGAATTTTGCTATCTATCACAGTACCAATACTTTTTTCTTTCATATCCCAATTCCCATAAGATGCCTTTTCTTTTTTCTTATTTCTAATACAATCACCATTACTGAGCACAAAAGCAAATTGCTCTTTCAGTTTAAAAGACATACCTAGTTACCTTTAATTCCTGCTGCACCCTCTCTTCAAAGTAATTTTAAGCCCTAAATTGCTTTTACTTTCTATTCCCTTTAATTTAATGTCTCTGTATTTATGTATATGGAAGTTTGACTTCTGGCARTTCCTCAAATTTTCACTACAGCCTTGTGCATCTCTATTTTTCTATGAACATGTAAGCGAAAGAAAAAAATACGTATTTTCAGAGCTAGAGATAAGATTAAACAAACAGATTTCTATCAGCACGTACACACAAACACTTAAATTACTATATAAACAACAAACAGATTCTGAAAACATAAACAGTCATTATTTCCACTTTATTAAAAACAAATCCTGAAAAAGTAACTAGAACCTGAGACCTTTGTAAGTATTATGGGAAAGCTAGACTGTCCTATTCTACTGAAACATCACCTTTCTCATAAAATTTATTACTATTTTATTTCTTGGTAAAATCATTGAGTAGAGGCCCGGTGCTTWTCTTACTCTCAGCCTGCTCTCATCAATGTCAGTCTATCAGTTTAATGAGAAAATTCCTTTCTGATGTCTTCTCTAATTTCAGGCTTTTACAGAATAAATGCTTTGCCATTTTAGTAAACTACCCAGATATGTTCCAGAAAATGAATCTCTCAAACTCTTTAATTCTTATCAGAGTTAAAATCCTATTAGCTTGGGTGGTTCCATGCTGCCTGATCAGTTCTCATCTCATTACGTCCAGCATTAGCCTTCAGGATTAGCTCATAGTCAATACTACGCTAAGCTTGACATGGAAGAGGAAAAAAAATCTACTAAATTTGATTTCCAGGACTCCCCAGAGAACAACAACCAAGTAATTCAGCCCCTATTAGCAAGGTTATTCAGGGCAAAGCAATCAACATTTAACTACTGTCTGCCCTCTTGTGCATAGATATTACCTATTAGTACACTATGTTTTAATGTAGTGTTAGCCTAAAAGCAATATTTGGGGACCTGTCATATTGGAAGTTTAGTCTTCCTAACTACACTCTTGTGAGAAAAGGCAGCAAGAGAAATATGAAGATTAAATTATTAAGTCATAATTTTCTTTCCTGATTCTTAGGCATGATTCTTTTATTCTGCTTATCCCAGCTAATGAAAGTCAGATTCAATTAGTTTTTGTGATTTGACACAAAAGGGCTTACCAGCTTTCACAAAGGATTGTAAAAAGCATCTTGTAAAAGCCAGAGCTTGCTASCTATTATTTGAAAATGTAAGACAGGAAAAAGAGATCACTAAAATGTTAGGGTACCTAAGAAGGAAAATTATGCTGCCCTGTCAAATGTTGACTAAGTTTGATTCTTCACAAGATTTTTATAATAGCAAATATTACAGATACGTCTGAAGACCTCAAATTCCAGATGCACAGCAAGAAGAACTTGGCTTAATAGATTTGAATTTATGCTTGGCAATTTGTCTAAAATCACATTCTTTACTGTCCCATGTCACCACTAATTTCAAATGCCCCACATTCCAAGGACACTGCATTAGTGAGTAAAATGCTACAATCATGGTAACTGGGGGTTTCAAAGTGTCCACCTGAATCTCCATGTGCATTTTACTGTTCGAAAACACCACATAAAAATATAGTTATTTCTTTAAAGATAGAAGGTTAAAAGGGGTCTGCAGATAATCTTTCAGAAAGATGCATGCCAAAACACAAGAAATCCCTGTTCTAGTTTGTATCACTTACAGGGGTATGAAAGATTTGAAAGTTTTTTAAAAAGAGAGTATCTCTGGATCCTAATTAACACATAGCAGCACATATGTGGAAGAGCTTGCAGGATACAAAATAGACTGAATACATTAGAATAAAATAACTTGCACATACGGTAAGGCAGCTTGACTAAAATATAGTATCTCAAACAGAAAAGGTTTCTTTCATCTACTCAACAAATTTGGGTTGAGTTCATTATTAATAAGAAGGCAGAAAGATGAATGGAAAATTCAGGAGAATTCCCATCAGTTGAAGTCCACCTTGGAAAAATGAGCTGAAGGAAAAGTGGAGTTGGAAAATATTCAGCAACAATGAGCACTGTGGGGATGAATTATGCCAAAAGAGAGCAGAGATGAAGCCTATCAAAAGAAAGCTGTGTGTCTCAGTATTGCGTTAAATAAAGTATACAAAGAAGCATGCAGTAAGCATTCTGAAAACACTGGATTATCTCTATTACCATATGTTTGCATTCTCATATCATTTAAATGGTAGAAASAAGGAGACAAAGTTCATCAGTGTGTAACCTTCAGAGTCTTATAAATGGGTAAAGTTCCATCTTCTTTCTCAAATTTTGCCTTCTAGACAAGTAAAGCTTGCAGTGTTTCTACTCTGATTTCTATTGTCTCCCCTGTGATTAGGAACTGCATCCCCTTGATGGCCATCTTTAATAACAGTCTTTAATAACTCTCAACAAGGACTTAGAGGAGTCTTGGCAAAGSATTTTAAAATAAAGTTCTACCAAGTAGGGTCCTCTGGAAGCTCCCAAAGCATTAAAATGAATAGTCCAAATAATCACACACAATCATTTACTTCTTACACCTCTCCTACAACTCTCACCTTTCTGACTAGGCAGGGCAGCTTGCTGCACCTAATTTCTGTAACCTCCTTATTGGGTAATGATCCTACACACCCTTGAAAGTATTTGGGAGGACATTTAACCAATCCTATGCTACAGAGCAACGCATTGCAAATATTGCTAGGCAGAAAAAGGGAGAGTATATAATGTAGAGTATACTAGAATTGCAGCAAAGACTGTGATGCTTCTCATCAGAACTGAGAACAGCAACATTTCATACAGCAACATTTAGATGATTTTATGCTTAAAAATATAGCCTAACTTGACAATGATTTTAAAAGSATGTGAAGTACTAAAAAACCCAGAACTCAGAAACACTGCTTGAAGAGAAAATCTGGTACTGCTTACTTAAAGATGACTTATGTATTTTGTAACAGCGCATAAACAAACAAAATCTGTGACTGATACTGAAAAACAGTACTGTACTTAATTGACCTTAAGTCTGAAGCTTCCAATCTTTGGGAAAGCATAGCTCTCAAAGGCTCAGATTATTCTGTTAGAGGATCCAAGTCATTCATAAAAACTAACATATTTTACATCCTGTGTGATAGAAGCTATTTTTCTGTCCAGTTATAGTAAATTGGAGTCTACCAATCCCCCAGATATTTGCTTTTAATCAAGGCTTAGTTATTTCTGGGAATAATTAATTTTAAAACAACTCTTTGAACAACACCTACTTGAGGTCTTGGGAAGGYTCTGCTCTGATATGGGGTGTCTCCACAGAGTGCCCAAACACTGCCCCTTCTGTGCCTAAAATACATAAATAAAATACAGCACAATTATTTTGAAAATAATAAAAAAGACACATTCAAATGTATGACTACAGATTGACATTTTTAGGATAAAATATTTGATTGAATCTTTTATTAACCAGTGCCTTTTTTTTTTTTTTTGTTAGATTTCTTATTTTTGCATTAAAGTAATACCATGTTAAAATCCGGACTGACATCATTTGAAACCACTGAATTTTGCTTATTGGTAGATAAAGTTTCACATACAAGTATAAAAACATTTATAGATCCCAACTTTTCAACACTGCCTTGCCTCAGGATGCATCTTAACACTTTTTGAAATGGATCACACTTTACAGATACAGAATAGAACATAGGATTGGTTGACAAAGAATATAGGGGCATTTACTGTTTTTGCATAACCTAAAATGAGAAACCAAGGTTTTCAACAGCTTCTATCTGAAGTGGCTAGTCTGAAYCTCTGATAGGTTTAGAGTTTCCTGCCATCAGATCTTTCTTAAGTACCCCAGATCCAAAGCAAAGAAAAATGACTATTTCTTAAAAATGAACGATTTCTCCTTTTAATCTTAATCTGTACAGTTAGGTCCAAATTACATATAAAATGGTATATTTTTGAATTAAATGATCTAGTATTTCATTTGGAACTTTTTTCCAGAGAAAAAGTTAGGGTTCTGATAAAAATACAGTGCATATATTTGAAGAAAAGGTATATATTTACACAAATAAATTTTAAATGTAAAGATATCTTAAAGAGACTAAAGAAAAAGAACAACAATTAATAAAGGCTGATTAAAGCAAGCATTTCCTTTGCTAAAATGACTGAAAACTCAATACACTGGCACCTAGCACTATAAAATCAGCATTTTTCAACTCAGACACAAGGACTAAGTACCTTACCACTTATATTACCAGTTTTACAATTAACAGAGAGCAGTATCCTACCTATATTATTAGACATTTTAGAGCTTCTGCATTCTTTTCTCCTTTCCTTTCCTTTCCTTTCCTTTCTTTTCCTTTCCTTTCCTTTCCTTTCCTTCATCCTTATACTCATGTCTATTATTGTTTAGTGCTTTTGTATAGTTCCATAATCTTCTTTTCTCTTCCACTTGTGTAAAACTTACTTTAGTTGTTATGTGCCTATAAGCTTTTATTTTCAGTCTTTAAAGACTGTTTACTGCGCAAGTGGTAATTAAACTARAACTATTGTGGGAAAGACTTTTTACTGGAAAACTGATAGTAAAAAATAAAGAACTAAATGATAAAGATACATCCAAAAGAAGTAATTTACCTTCTATTACTAGGACTAAGATTGAAGAAACTGTCTGAGATAATTAGAGTTGATTACTACTCACTCTGGGTTTAACTGCTGTATTTTAAGGACAGAAATCTTTCTTGCTTTTTGAGCCATGTATTTTGTATAAAATTAAAAATGAACCTGTGCAAAAAAAAGTGGTCAGCACATGAGATGGATTACTTAAATTGCTTTATTTTTAAAAATAAAATACAGTATTTAAATATTTCACAAGCATTTTAGATATTTTAGTCAATTAGTTAATTGATCTATACCATTAATACCATATTTTACACTAACATTTTACAAATTCAAAGAGAAAATTGTCTTGAACATAAGTGCCTAGGAATAGCCAATAAAATTAACTAATCATCAAATTAAATTAATATGTAAAACAGGCATTCTGGTAGTAGTCTAAACTGTTTTCATGGATGGATGGATGAATGGATTGGCACATCTAGTCACTGTAAAATACTGGACTGGTATGGGGTACCAACAGGAGGAAGACGGAGTTTCTAAGGACAGCAAGTAATGTACCTGTTTTTTATTTCCAGAAACCTATAAACACTGCAATTATCTTAGTACAGCATGCTGAAAACAATTTCTTGATTGCATTACAATCGCTGCTTTGGAGATGTCACAAGAAACCAACTGTAGGAGAAACTGCTTTCCATATCTAAGCTTTGCTTAGTGCTATGAAGAACTACCAGAAGGCAAAAGCAGCATACCTTTTTTATCTATTCACAGAGATGTCAGGTGGATTCTGCTTTTTAAATCTGGTATCCCTTTGCAAGTCTATCACCTTTAAGAGACAGAAATAGCCAAAATTGTGTCTGTAGAGCCAAAAATTCTGTAACTCAAAACYGAAATCTTATCCCTCTCTATTATTTCTTGTGGTGTGCAAGAAATTCTAGTAGAGCTGAAAACCATGCCTCAAAGTCTATGCTTCCAGAGCCACTTCATCTCCTTCACCAGTAAAATCAAATACTTTCAAGGCCAAGAGCTCTTGTTTATTTATTTGTTTATTTGTGAAGGTGGAAATGGGATTTGAAGATGAAAATACCTGAGAACGATGGAGAATAGTCAGTCCCTACTTTTGAGAAGACAACAAATGTTGTCTTTGAAAGAGCAGAATTAATGTATAAAACACCTCTCTAATATGGGTTAGATATTAAACTAAGTCAGAGGTGCTGAAGATAATTTTGGGCAAAGAATGACAATAAAATATAAATGACAGCTAGCTCTAAACCAAGATTAATATTTTCTTTACTTTCAGCAACATTTATTTAAAAAGTCAAATGAGCATTTTTCCCTTACACAGAAAAGGAAAGAGAGGAAATGAAAGACAGAATAGATGAAYGAAGGGCTTTCACATGGATATAACTTGTTCAAAAATGGAAATCATAGCAGGTAGAATTAAGAACAATTTGTTACAATTAAATAATATACAATTAAAATGAAAAAAAATGCATTTTCCCTTTGTTGTTTGAAGCTATAATCCTGCACATTTTTTCTTGCTTAAACTCCTCCAAAAGTGAAAGCTTAGCAGTTTTTGTGGTAATTGTTTTATCTTTAAAATACGCTACACGATCCACAAGGAAAGTTCAAGAACCTCTTTTATCCTTTTTTCTCTGTAGTAGAAGAAATGCAGCGACTAATAACTATCTTTCATTTAGGAAGCAAGTAGAAAAAGAGCAGCAAGTCAGAATTTACTGATATGTTTCCAGCAGTAAAACAGCAAGATCAAGGAAAATGAAAAAGACTTGTATAGCAAGGAAAAGTATGGATCAGCATACTTAAAAACACATAATAGAAGAGAAACTGCAGAAATGCATTTTTAATTTTTTAATTGACTATATGTAAATCTGTAGCACATTAATGAGAGCTTAAACTGTGTTACTCAGTGCTGCATGGTGTTAGAAACACCCTTATTTGTTAATATGCATTCTGATCAATATAAAGCAGGATTCAAAGTGACAAGCGTGACTTTTTTTAGGTGCATATGTGTATAATGAAAAAAATGCATTGTAGCTATATAGTTGCTTACAATGTTAAAACGATTACTTTTCACAGAAATAAGACAAAAACATATTAACTGTGTTCACTGATTTACAGATTTTAACTACGACCTACTTTGAGAGAGGGAAATTCTARGCAGAGATGAACGAATAGAAAAAAGAAGACTTGAACCTTCTAGCCCTTTCAAGTACAACTCAAAAGGCAGTAGTTAGGGAACTGAATTCAAAGAAATATGAGTTAGAATGGATAGCTATAAAAAGTGAACCTTTCAGAGGAAAGAAAATAGCAAGGGCATTCAGTACGTGAAAAGGATGTAAAACTGTAACTGTAACTGAATAAAACTACTCCTACCTCCAGTTCCAGCTTCCAGTGGCACAGAATGAGTTAACTGCAGTAGAGACTTGCTAAGAAAGAAGCATTTGGGAAGACAAATACTGGTCAAAGAATAATAGTCTCCATAGAGTTTRCTGGAGAACCCTCAGGAAGTGGCATGAGTAAGGCAAAAAGGCCATAAGTCCAATTCCATAAAGACAGAGAAATCTCTTTAATTCAAAATACCCTTAAAATGTACTTTTTTTTAATGAAAAACAGCACAAACCAAAGCCATCCTTTCAGGACAAATATAAACTAGTCATAGATTCTCAAACTGTGTGCTGTTGAAATTGAAAATTCAGACTATTCAAACTGCTGTAAATTCTGCACAATTTAGTGTTACYGAAATCCAGCCTTTGGAAAATAACAAGTTTCATAAAATAAAAATAATGGAAGTACAGTGTTTGTGTTTGGTAGTGGATCATATTGTTTAAGTATGTGCACCCAGAGGAACCTTCATCAACTATATAAAAGCAAACCATTCTTTGTTAATTTAATAGAAGAACACTAGTAGATTTTAGTGACTTAATAACAGGATAGCATGAAGAGACCAGCATCTGAACTTACTGAATGTAGGAGCTATTTTTTTTTCACAAGAATTCATGATGACGAGTTAATAGACCAGGAAGCAAAAACTAATTAAACTTTTTGCTGTGAAAAAAACAACCAAACATTAGCACTGTTCTGCTCTCTCTCTTGCTAAAAGAAAAGCACCCCAAATGAACTATGCACTATTTCTGACAATTGCATTGCATTTTGAGAGGCACAGAATTATATAGCATTTCAGTGTCATGAGCACAGCTGAATCTTACTGCCTCTACTTTTCCCTAGGTTTTTCCGAAGTATGATGTATTAAGATCATGCAAGTATTGGAATGTAATGCCAGTTCRTCCTCTGAGCTCCAGAATTTAAAGAGTTCATAAAATCTTTATCATGTCTGAAGCTTGAAATTTTACCCACTGCAAATTCCTTACTAAGTTGAAGCACTCACAACTTTCACTGTGAAATATGAGTAATTAATCAAGATTGCTTTACCATTGCAGGGTCCTTGAAATCATTGACTTTGTGTGCTAAAAGTTTACTTGTCATAGAAAAGCTTAATTCTCAAATGATGTGCACCCAGCAAATGTTTCAAAGTGCCTTTGGGTGATTAGGTAGCCATTGTTTCACACAAAGACCTTGGAAGAGTTGATTAATGCCAGACTAAAACCAGAAATTTTCATCTGCCAGATTAATAACCACAAAAAGACAAGCAAGCAAGCAAGCAAGAAAGAAAGAAAGAAAGAAAGAAAGAAAGTTTCTTGCTTCTTTTTTAA